TTTTCAGGCCAACTAGCAGTTTCTCACCACCGTCAACAAGGAAGTGGCGCAATAAATCACCACTCAACCAATTTTCTAATCCTATCAACGCTGTCAATCAGGTCTTTATGAGGCAAATATTGGAGACCTAACAAGCCCCCGCACTGTTCCTCCTCGTCCATCACCTCCGCCGCTTGAGGGTTTGATTTCTCCGCCTCAACCACCACCATCGACGGAGGCTCGCTTTTGCAGTGGGGAAGCAGGAACTCACAGTCAAGCTGTAATGGACCACCTTTCCTCTTTCTCTCTCTCTCTCTCTCCCCATGCTCAACTATATGCAGGACCTAGGCCGAACCAAATGAGGCCTGGCTAATTTAGTATAAGAATCAAATAGAGTTTGTAATGTAAAGTGATGTATAAACAATGAAGTTAATTATAACACGATAGAAAAATATAATAACCCCTTATACAAATAAATAAATGTACAACCAACAATAATTATTTTTAATTTAAAAAATATATTAAAAATGGGGTGAAGAAAAAAAAGAAAATTAAAATATATGGATTGCACTCGAAAAACACATTATTTTAACTTTCTTTTTGGTGATGACTGATGACTAATGATGAGGTTAAAATTCAGCATTATTGTAAATTAGTTGTCATCTTGTGCACATGCACAAAAATCATAAAAAATAATATAAATATTGTATATCAAAATAGCAATTAAAATAAAAATTAAATTCATAACATTTATCATAATTATAATTTCATTGTTACATTAATTACTCTTAGCTAAAATTTTGGATTTAAAAAAAAAAAGAGTATAAATGAGGAATTTATCATATGCTAATAATTATTATATGAATATAATAAATAATATAATTTTGTATATACTTTGAGTATCATAATGATAATAATCATAAAAGTATCACAAAGTAAAAAAAATATATATATAAATTTGAAATGGACAATATAAATTTTATATAGTAAATGTTAATCTTTTAAGATAATTATTGTATTAATTGTATTAATAACAAAGTAAAATATAGGTACAATTTAGATTATTTCATATAATAAATTTCACTTATAATTTGATACATATACGTTTAGTGTTTTTATTACAAAAATCTTGATCAATATAAAATATCTCAACTAACTTGTAAGACATATTAATAACATGTAAGTTTTTTAGCACTTACATGAAGACAAAATTGAAAAAACATTGCATTCAATCAATATACTACTTTGTAGAATTTGTGTACAGAATAACACTTACAAACTCATTTTAAAATAAAATCTAATAAAAGTAACATAACGTGATAAAGTTAATACAAATTTACATTACTAAGCTGAAAATTTTAGATAAATCTTTTGTAATAGTATATAATCGCATCAAAATGATAATGGAATCCCTATAAATAGGAAAATGCAAAATAAGTAATAGGATTATGGTTTGCTTTTATAAATTATTTAATAAGACAAATGTGAAATGTATATATTACTTCTAAATAGTTATCTTGAAACTCGATTGTACTATCCAAGATGATTAAAATTAAGTATGAATAATATGAAGTCCAAAATTAAAAATACTTTGCAACCAAAAGAAAAGTTACGTGGTAGTCAAATTGGAACGGTTATACAAAAATATAATATTACTTATTATTATCAATTTAACAAATTGCATACTTAAATTTATTTCTATAACATAACCGTTATAGTTTTTATGAATATTATAATATTGATTACATATTTAATGATATAACCATAAACAAGTACAAAAGAAAACTAAAACTTACTAAAAAAAGCTGAAAAATTTAGGCTAGAAAATTTTACTTTTGTAATATATATAAATTTAGGCAGGAAAATTTAATGATATATATATATATATTATATATATATATATATCTATAGATTAGTCACTAAGATAGTTTTAGGCGAGTTATCCGTCATATTTTGTGAACGAAAATAAATGTTTATACTAATTAAATGTCATATTCTTTATATAGTATTTTGAAAGTATGATATTTTCTAGTAAGATATGCATATCGTAAAAATAGTACGATTCCTTAAACTGACATTACAAAATAAATTCTTTTGTTTTTTAAATAATGAGATACAACATACGTGAATTACACGAGCGCTGGTTAAAAAATAATATTGAAATTCTCAAAAACATTTTAAAAAGTTATTATTTATATTTAAAACGAGACTTTTCATTTATACGATTCACCTGTCTTACATTATAATATTTTTAATTCATATGTAATTAATTTATAAATAACTTTCTTAACTGATATATAATCTTAAATTAGTATTAATAGATAATTAATTTTTATAATAAGATAAATAAAAGTATTTATTTCTGTAAAAAACAGGTGAAAAACGAGTACATCATCGCACGGTCCAGAACCGACTCTGATACCATGCAAGAAACGGGATAAAAAATGGGTCATCGCACGGTCCAAAACCGGCTCTTATACCATGTAAGAAAGCGATCTCACGCAGATGAAGCGCACCAAAACAGGGAAAGTCCAAATGAACCCCAAGTGAGTTTTCATCCCAAAACGATTTGTGGAAGGAGGAGTAGCCCACTAGACTTATAAATTAGACCTATTTTCCCTATATAAACAATGTGAGACAACTCACAAATAAATATTCTAATATTTTTCTTTTATATATGCAATATGAATGTCAAATCAAAATTCGTCAGTCAGATAATTAATTTGATATATCAATATGACAAAGTGATAACAGATACAAAATTTATTAATGTTTAAATATATTTATAAGTTAAGTTAGTCAAGTATTTTATAATATTAAAGTGCTACATAGATAAAGTAAGATATACTTTGACTGCTCTAACCAAAAAAAAAAAAACGAGTACGTAGTCCATGCGATGCACGAGTCGGAGATGTTAAATGGCATTTTCATAGAGTCTGTGCATTTAGGCATGAAAAATAGTAGAATAGGATCTTCTATTTTTTTACCTCTTTTAATCAACGTTGTTTTTTTAGTCATAACATTAAACGTGAGCCCATTAGCCCTAGTTTGTAAATTAACCAATATATTATCCCAATAAAATATTTATACTAATATAAATTTGATTTTAGTATATATATTTATTCTTTGATATAAGGAAAATAATAGGTTTACATATTCTTGTTCACCATATAATCCTTGATTAATTATTTTATTATAAAATTTATTGTCATATAATGTCATTATTGTTCACCATATAATCCTTGATTAATTATTTTATTATAAAATTTGTTGTCATATAATGTCAATATAGTTTTTTTTTTAAGTTATAGAAGTAGTCTTCTTCTTATTTTGATTTGATATAATGAAAAGTATTTAATTTATATTAATATATTTATTAATCTAGTAAAATTAATTTACTTAAATAAATCAAAATAAAATATTGTGTATAGATGTTATACAAAATATACACACATGTTATTTTATTATTAATTTTTTATAATAATTAAACAACTTTGTTAGTGATTAATTAAAAAAATTAAAAACTGACAGAAATTCGGATGCATTTAATGGTTGTCTTATTTTTTAGGCAAGATATTGAAAGAAATTTGAAAAATGCTGAAAATAGAATGCATTAATTGTCCGTTTACTTTTTTTGCTACTAATTTTAATAAATAGGATGATTCTTTATATATAGATACGAAGTTTCCCATACTTAGAAGGATTATGAAGAAGCACCACCAGAACACGAGCTAATTTTTTTTTTTTTCAATATGATATATTCATTAAACGAAAAAACACATAATTACAGCCGGTGGACAACCGGAATAGGAGCTGCTCATGGAGGCCATCCTAGAAGCCACAACACACACTACATCATGAAAAGAAAAATAGAAACTCCCCACAGGAGAATGACACTAACTCCCAACAGGAGAATAACACGCTCCCTCCAAGAAGAAAACAAAATACAAACACAAACAAGACAAAATAAACACACCAACACAACAAAACTACAAACACAAACACATAAGACAACACAAAGAAAAACAGAAAAGCCCTTCTCACGGCCGGGAACATGCCAAACAATCACGACAATAATATCAATGGCTGGACCACCCATACGGACCGGAACTCGCCCTAGACTCCAACACCAGAAACTGAAACTTTCACACCTAACTGGAATTAGGCCCTAGAAACTCGCCCCCGCACCCGAGTAGACGACCCCACCTCAGCCGGAGAAAACTGAATCAAACCCCAACACACCACCATTGCTCTGAGCTCTGCCCACACCACGGACCTCAATTCGACGCGCCAGTAGCACCTTCGACCCACGAACCGGAGACCAAAGGAACAAAGGGGAAAGGGTCAAATACTCTGACCGACCACAGCAATCCGACCGTCGGAGCCACCACCCATCCCAACAGAAGCATCGGCGACCTCCGCACCACCCGAGAGATTGATGGACCACCAGCCCGAAGAGGCGGCCGGGAAGGATGCCGAAACCTCTTGGACCATCACCCACCCCGCCAGTTCAAGCGAATGAAAATTGATACCACCGAGAGAGAGACGTGCCGCCAGAGAAGGCAGGAAAATCGCAAATTTAGGGCAAAAAAATTGGGGGTTTTTTTGGTTTCGGAGAGAGAGGTTGTGTGTTGTTTTGTTGGACACAATTTTTCTAGTGAACACGAGCTAAACTCAAAGCTTCATTTGTACCAAAAATACTTTTCGCTAGCCATTCTATTGGAAAAATATTCTTCTCGCCCATCATCCAACTGATCGGGACAGTTATCTGTCTTTTTGCTCCACTCAATATTATATTAATCACGTCTGTCATATGAAATGAAACATTGCGATTAAAACACGTCTGTGAACAAAGTAGACTTTTCAGATATTTTGGACCAATCATTCGATCTATGCAAACCTCATTAAAAATAGTGAGTTTACCCTTCACTTGGTCGCTGTTGTAAGAAAAAGATGCACAAATGATTTGACCTCAACCCTCTCTACAGTTGTGTTCCATTGACAAACCAAAAACAACAACAATGGCGACATACATCAAGAACAGTACTTGGGCGGATACAGTCCCATCAAGATCCGATACTCTGTTTTCTTCTCTCTCTTCTTCCCCAGAAGGGTTTGGTCGATGCTCTGCAGTCATGGCGTCCTGCGTTGAACGCGAGATCAACGCCTTTTTGTGGCTCGCTCTCATAGGCGTCACCGGTTATTTGCTCAGGAAACTGTTGAAGGTGTTCGAGGTATGGGCCAAGGCCGGGCCTTTACCGGGCCCCTCGTCTGGTTTTTATGGCCACTGCCACCTCATCGCCGGCTCCAGTCTCACCGGTTTGTCACTTTGTCGTTTTTTTCCTTCTTTTGCTGGCTGCCCTTTTACCTTTTTCGATGAATCGGTTCTTAATCAATACGTGTGTGTGTGTGTGTGTGTGTGTGTGTGTTTTGAAGTTTGAAGTTCTGGGGCTGTGTTATTGATTGTCCTGTATCTTTTTTAAGTAAGTTCTGTAGTGCTGAAGCTCAAATTAAAGTGTAAGCAGAGAAAGGAACAATTTTGATGAACACGTCTCTTCCTTTTTATTTTTTTTCACCAGATGTTCTCCATATGTGTCACGAGAAATATGGAGGTGTTGTAAGACTGTGGCTTGGGCCTACTCAACTGTTGGTCTCAATAGAGGATAAAGAACTTATCAAAGATGTCCTTCTGAAGGCTGAAGATAAATTGCCTTTAACGGGTAGGGCATTTCGCTTGGCTTTTGGGAGTTCGAGCCTTTTCGTCTCGCCTTTCGACAAGGTATGTTATGCTCTTCATTCTATTTTGATCTTTTCTGCTCAAGTGAATACGGAGGGATTATTGTTATGCGTTGAATGAATGGAGAAGACCCCAAACATTAATAAAGCTTCCTTTTCCTTTTTGTTTATAAAGTGTTTGGCAATTGTGTTTTCAATTGCAAGATATTATTTGCTGGTATGTTTATGGTTAACTGGTATACGGAATCTTGGATTTTCTGTAAAGCATCACAGCAAAATAAATTTTAGTCCCTTTTTCATGCATACACTAAATGGTTAAGTTTGCTGGATGTTCTTCGCGACCATCTCGAAGAGGGGTCACCTTGTGTGAAGAGGCGCCTATTACTATTGGGTGTTTTGACATTGGAGATTTAGGGTGCTCTTCAATGAGCATTTATCTCGTTGGTCCACTTCTTTTTTATTTGTTCATTTGAAGTAAACTTTTCACTGTTGTCAAAATTCTCCATGAGTACTTTGTATAAAATTCTCCATATATACATCTTTTTCCTATTCTTTTTCTTTTTGTTTTTCATGATGCTCGAGCCTCTGAGCATAATTCACTGGGTCTATTTTCTGCATTGGTGAAAGAATAGAACGTATCTGTTCATTTATTGCTAGGTCTTTTCAGCGTACACTAATCTTCTTTCTGCAGGTAGAAAGTAAACGTAAGTCAGTGGAAAGCAAACTTGGAGGTACACTGCTCAAGAGAATCAGTTTGATCCCTGAAAAAATACTGGATAGCATCATAGAAAGAGCTCAATGTGCAACGGTTAAAGGAGTTGTGGATTGTGAAACTATTTCTCTGCATCTAGCTTTTACCATCCTGGGAGCTACAATATTTGGTGATGCATTGTTAACTTGGCCTAAGGCAGCTGAATACGAGGCCCTATTAATGGAGATTGCTCGGGAGGCATGCTTTTGGGCGTCGTATGGTGTTACTCCATTCTGGAAAAAGGAATTTTGGAAGTTTAAGGAATCTTGTACCGAGTTGAAGAGCTTAACTGAGGAGCTCATACACGAAAGCAAACAGAACTGCAAGTCGGACTTCTTACAGGATTTTGGTGGCCATGATGACACGGAATTTGAATTATGTGGGGAAGTAGTTAGCCTGATCTTTCATGGGTCTCTGACTATGGGTGCACTTATTGCTAGTGTCTTGACAAGGCTTGTGACACATCCAGACATACAGGATAAGGTGATCTGTTTTTGATTAAATGTTAAAATAGTTTTTATGATTCTGAAAGTTTATTGTGGCAGACGTGATTTTTAATCGATTTCTTTGGTTTTATAACTCTGATGCACTCATGCCTTATGGTTTGGTTTGGTTCTAAACTAATTTATCTTAGTCTAGGTTTGACTCTAAAAATTTATTAGACATATCAAGGATATCCATTGTTTACTTTCAATTTTCAAATTTCGGCTTCCATTTTCAGTGTCGTGAATGATTTCATTGCTTGTTGCAAAGATGCAGTATCTTTATCTCCCTCTTGCTGCTTTTCTAAACTTGAAGGTCTTTTTAATTAAACATTGTTGTTTACATCTGGACGTAAATAGTTTATTGCTTTTACATTTAGTGCCACATCCTTTTCATCCCTTCAATAGGTCTTCACTTACTAACTGAAGTTTAAGTTTCTGTATACCTGTTTTCTTGGTGGTCGTAATAGAGCTGTTGTGGTTGAGAAAAATGTCGAGCCAGACAATCTTAAGTTAGAAGAATCGATTGATTAGTTCTGGGACCAACCAAACGCATAAACCATAGATTGTTCTTGATATGTTTAAATTACAAAAGGGAATTTTGCTCTCTTTAGGCTTTTCTCCTTGAGTTCATTGGTTTTTCCACTATTAAAATATTTCATAATGTCAGTTTAAGAAGGCAATGTTCTATTTGTGAATCTAATAAATCAAGAACATTGCCGAATAAGTTTGTTATGCATATCCACCACCGGAACACACCTCAACAATACTTAATTACCAATCATTCATTTCGAAACACTATTTTAACTGATGAAATATTTTTAACAGATTCACTCGGAAGTGATAATGGCACCAAAAGTTAGGATGGATGCAGATCCACAGGCTGTGGATGTGAATTGGCCCATTCTCCTGGCAACTATATATGAATCAGCGCGTCTTCTTCCAGCTGGACCTCTACTCCAAAGATGCTCCCTCAAGCATGGTAATTAATTTTGATCTTGTCATCACCCTTCATAATGGACACGTGGCTTTCAGTTTTGTTTTACTTTATATCTTTTATCGGTGCCTTATTGGTTGGTGATGTTAAACTAAGGGTTTGAATAATGAATCCGTTGGACTTGTTTGGATAAGCTAAGAAGACAATTGATTTCAATCGATATGTTCTGACATGGTGGATCTCAAATCCTAAATAAAATTGTTCATCTTATTGCAAACAATGTAACTAGAACACGTTATGTAAGTGTTTAGTCTAATTTGTCTTAGTGCTGTTTTGGGAGCATATCTATCAATCTCCATGAGAATATGGACTTCTCCGAACGTCTAATTCCTTAATTTCTCACAATGTTGTTTTCTTGGAAACCAAAAGCTCACTCGTAATTAACCTGCAAGTGTAATTGTAGTTGAAATGGACTTTCATATCTAAAAGTTTTTGAAAAGTGATTCCAAACAAACTATTAATATTCACACAATTCCTATTGGGTAAAAGTTTTCCAAAAAGTCTGGGGGTTTTCAGAATTTTATTTTAAAAACGGTATTTGTTAGGTTATTTAATTTTTTTACTTTTAATTTTGTGACTAGTGAAACTTCGATTTGGTTATTTTGTGAACTTATGTCCTCATGGAACTTGTGATTTTCATGTGTAAAGACTTTCCAGGATATCATATTTGTACTATGGTCTAATGACTTTCTGAATCTGTCTTATGTATGATAAACTCAAAATTTTGAATTGATTGCTTGGTAAGTGTCCGATATGTTTCAAAGTAATTATCGCAAGAGTGAGACATCAAAGCAGAATTCATTCGAGTTTTTCATATGAGGTGTATATGGTGGGATTTATTACCAGATATAAGTTAAGGAAATCTCCATTTTACTTCTGTTTTGTGTTTTCTCACTAAGATAACATTCTTGAAGTCGCATGACTCGCACCCTAGGGTCTTGAAGGATCTATTTAACTCATTACTTCTCATTCCCTGATTATTATTGATATATTCCTTATCTTTTATGCTATTATGGCTTTTCATTAGAAGTTAAAACATTTTTATTCATTCTGATATACTTGACTGATTTCTTATTTTCGTTGTTGCTTTATTGAAGATTTGACTCTTAAAAACGGTATGGTGATACCCGCTGCTTCCATGATTGTTGTGCCGGTTCAGTTGGTTCAAATGGACAGTTCGAATTGGGGAATTGATGCTGCCAAGTTCAACCCACACAGATTTCTTTCGAGCACTGGTGCCAAATGTGTTTCCACACATGTGCCTCGTGATGGTAAAACAGTAAAAGCTTTTATTCCTAATATTATAGATACTTGTATGGAAGAACATATTAATTCTCTCTGAAAAAAAATACAAAATAAATAAAAAAAAACTCATCGTTTTTGGTTAATCATACAGAACACAATTCGTGCACTTTGAGAGATCCAAGTGAATTCGAAGCATTTCTTCCTTTCGGATCCGGTGCACGTGCTTGTATTGGACAGAAGTTAGCCATTCTTGGAATTTCATCATTGTTTGCTGCCCTCATTGGTCAACATGAGGTTTTTACTTTTTACTCCCCTTTTCTTCTGTATCCGTATGCACATAGGACGAAACTAGAATTTAATGTATGACATTATTAAATTGTTGTCTGGATTTTGGATTCTGTTTACTTTATATATATTTCTGGATAGGAAGAAATTAGAGGTGTATCGCGTTTCATTTGCTATATTATCTTGGTCTATCCCGAAAGTGCCTTGAATATTCGTCAACTTATTGGAGTTGTCAATCTAGGTTACCATGCGAATAGGATCCGAATGCAACATGAAACCCACAATAAACAACTACATGCTCCAGCTTTGTCCGAGTCCAAAGGTAGTTTTTGTGAAGAGGAGCACAACTGTAAGAAAAGGTTAGAGCCTATATTTTGTCTCGAGAGCTAAATGAAGCACTTAAAGTTGGAGGATATATTTTCGACTCGGGTGTTTTTTCCTCCAATATATATGTGTTTTTTTTTTAAAAAAAAAATCTTTTCGTTTTGGTTTTTCATGTGGCACTTACTAGCGCCGGTCTTTTTGTTTAGCCAAAGTGCTGTAATTAGTGTTTTGAAGCGCTAGGCCGCTGTTATCAGGCAGTCGTCGATGTTTCTAAACATTTTTCGACGAATTTGTAGACTTGCCTTTTTTTTTTTCCTCTCTCTCTCAAGGGGGAGTTGGTGTGCTTTGTAATAAAAATGGTGAGGTGTTTCTGTTATTATGAGAATCATTTATAGCTGTAATGTGATTCGAGTTGGCCAATGATTATGTGGACGACAATTTATATGTCAGTTTGTTCTTTTAATTGTTGTAAGAATGGGAGCTATTGGATATAGAATTTATTCAAGTTTTTTGTTTGTGAGTTAAGATTCATCTCTATTAAATCAACCCTTTTTTTTTCATCTTTTTTTTTTCCTACAATCATTGTATCCTAACACAATTAAAAAAAAACATTATTATTGTTATTATTTATTTATTTATTTAAAAATTACTACTTATTCAACCACATTTTTTGTAACTACTAGTAAATATTAATATTAATTAGCATTATATTACTCATGTACCATATCATATCCAGTCATGCATATCTTTCATTTTTAAAATTCATTCATAATATAAAAATTACCTAATTTTTTAAATAAATTTTCTGCATTTAAATATCTATTCATTGTTATTTTTTTATTATATCTAATGGTTATGATTGAATATGTTTTTTTTTTAAAAAAATATCATCTCTTTAAAAAATAAAGTAGAAATACATATATATATATATATATATATATATATATATATATATATATATATTTAAAAAAATTTTATATGGCTTTCAAATTTAGAAATGCTAAAGATATGATTCTGAAAATACATTATATTTGAAATGTAAATCCTTGCTTAGCTTTTCGGCCTCCGCCTCCTCTCAGTCGTGCAATATTGGCGTCGGTCATCACAAGCCCGAGCAGCTCGTCCCATTAGGAGTCGTCGTCCCCTCCTCGATGTAGAGCTTCGCCCTAATCGCCGATTGTCTATGAGTGATGGAGTGGGTTCCGACAAGCGCTAAGTTGGGGTTGGTCCTGACTTTCTCTTAGGAGTCAGTCAGAATTTAGGTGTGATTCCCTTTTTTTCCGTTTACTAGTGTTGGGGGTCAGATTTGGCTAGTGTGTGTGGGATGCAGTCCTGGTCGGTGGTTCGGCTGGGGACGCCGACAGGTTGGTGGGGAGAAGGGGGTTGTTTTTGGTAGTTGGTCTGAGTGTGGCCGTATAGAGGAGAGTTTGATCTGTTTGTTGTTCCAGTTAACTGCTTGCTAGAGTCTATAATTAAGTACTCGAGCTACTTTTGTATAGATCTGTCATAGATTCAACTTGATGACTGTTAGACTATTTTAATTATATCTATGCGTAATTATGTGTTACAATCTATTTTATCGTTTTCAAAAAAAAAAAAAAAAGATAAATGAGTGAGTTCATTGTCCACAAAACAACCCAATAAATTTGTATTGGAAACTAATGTTAACATGTATGAATTGACTATTGACCGACCGTGAAAAACCGTGACTGCAATAGAATTGAAAATTACGATGAACACATTGGTTGAGTTAGGATATTGTAGGGGTGGCTCGTCCACGTCGTGTGTTGAACTAGCGAGCGTCAGGCTTCGGCCTCCGGCCTCCTTTATTATACCAAAAAAAAAAAAATTACGATTAACAGAAGAAACAATTTATTATTATTATTATTATTTTAAAAAAAAAAAAAACGAAGAAACGAATTTGGTGTATGCATTCTTTAATTCCATACCCGGAGAAAGAAAAGCTTTCACCACCTCAACAATGGCGGACAAGAATCGTCAGCCCTACAAACCCATTAACAGAAGAAATTATTCATCTTCCTCTTCTTCTTCCCACTCCAATTACACCAAACCCCGCCGTCCCAATTACCCACACCATTCAAACCCCAACTCCGATCGCTCTGCAATTACCTCTTCCAATAGCAGCAGAAATTATACTGACAATGACAATCAAGATTTTCCGACCTTAGTAGGGACTTTCCCTTTCATGTGCCCAGGTATTCCCCCTCAATCCCAGTTTTCAATGTTATGGTTTTATTAACGCTTTTTTTTTTTTTTTTGGGGGAAGGGTTTGGTACCGTCTTTGTCGAGCTGATGTTTTTATTGCAGTGGAGGAGAGGGAGAGGCGCGAGAGGCTGCGGGATTTGGCTGTTTTCGAGAGGCTCCACGGCGATCCTGCTAGAACTTCACCCACCCTTGCTGTAAAGAAGGTGATATAAGTATATAATCTTTACACTATGTAAAAATGGGAAAGGGAAAGGAAAAAGAAATGAAGAAGATAACAACTTTAGGACTTGGGAGTTGTAATGTTACACATTTTAATGATTGCATATATTAGACGAGGCCACGAGGTATTGTGTGTTGTGAGCTCCCATTCCTGAGCTGTGGAATACATAGCTGAAAGTCGGCAATAATCGTCTAAAGAATATATGTAAAAATATAATTGTATGGTGCAACAAGTGAAAACTTCTGATGCTCTTGTCCTATTAGTTTTGCAGAACTATTAGTTCAAAAGACGTGAAAGCTTCTGATGTTCGGCCCGTCCCCGTATTGGAGGAAACTCTAGATTATCTTCTCAGCTTGCTGCATTCAAGTGATCGTTCTTTTGAGGTGGTTCATGATTTCATTTTCGATAGGATTAGGTCCATCAGGCAGGATCTTAGCATGCAGAATGTTGTCAGTGATCAAGTGATTCGCATGTACGAGAGAATGGTATGCCTATTAGTCAAATAAATTGGTGATAGTCACCCTTTTTTTTTTTTAGAAAATCCTTTTTTTCTTTTGGTATTTAAGCTAAACATCAGGATAGTTTTAGAATTATCTCTAACTTTTTTTCGGCAAGTGCAGATTCTTATTATTTCCATATGCAGGTCAAGTTTCACATCATATCATATTACAACCTTCGTAGATCTGGTGGAACTCAAGATACTGCTTCTATGTCTCACCTCAATTTGGAGCAGCTTATGAAAGTCTTAACAACTTTATTTAACTTGTATGAAGCACATCGAGCAGCACATTCTATGTGCCAAAATGAAGCTGAGTTTTATTCATTTTATCTTCTTCTCCATCTGGGATCTCACAACCAAGTAATGCTTAAACCATTATGTTTGTTTATTTTATAACGTGCATCCTTTTCCTGATTTATGAATTTTTAATGTTGCCCGTCTCTTATTTACAGGGCGAACCTTTATCTTTGTGGTTACGCCGCATTCCCTCAGGAATCTTGAAATCAAAAGAGATTTGTTTTGCCCGGGCACTATTAAGGTGATTAGTAGTGTTTGCAGCTGCCCTATGGATTGTAATCAGACTTTACCGAAATTGCATGTTATTCATATGTTTATTTAATTGTGTGGTCTACTTCTTAATATGTTAAAATTCTTTTAACAGGTGTTACCGACTAGGGAATTACAGGCGATTCATTAATATTACGGAGAAAGAGGCATCCTTTCTGCAGAATTGCCTTATAGAACCTTATATCAATGAGGTGATTACCTTACATGAGTGATACCATCATACATATAGAACTTGATGTCTCTGTTCTGTACAATAAACTCCTTGTGCACTGACCTACATGGCCTTGGTTACTTTTTTGTAAATTTTGTTCGGTATCAAATATCTATATTTGTGAGTTTATTTGGGTGTGAGAGCACCATATTTATTGAGCTTGACTAAACTCTATCTGTTGGACCTAATGTTCAAGTTTACTGCATTTGGACTAGTACAGTTTCTTATGATGGTTACAACTAATTGCCTAGTTTGCTGATTCTTGTGAATTTGACTATCTGAAGGCACGGGTATTAGCATTGTCCTGTATCAGTTATGGAGGGTACAAGCTGCAACCATATCCACTGGTGTACTTGTCCAAGCTTCTGATGTTGAAGGTTGATCTTTGTGGTCAAGTTGCTTCTTATTGTTCTGTTCTCTGTAATAACTAATAAGATGATGGGACTTGATGTTCTGGCTGATATCTGTTTATCAAAGAAAATGCAAGGGGCTTAAACAATCTTTCTAACATTTCTAATATTGCTTTTTTTTTTTTTTTTTTTCCTGCTCCAGGAATCAGATGTTGAATCTCTTTGCATTGATTGTGGTCTTGAAATATCTGATGGTGAAACTGGAAAGGGACTTATCTCCACCAAGGAATTGGTAATAGTTAAACAGTCGAGAGGATTCCAGAAGTACTATCCGATCCATTCAGAACGTATAGAAAGGTAGTAAACTGACTCCCTCTTTCTCTCTCTCTTTCATAATTTTCTGTCATAAGTTCTAGATGGCAAATGCAATGGTTGAGTGCTTTCACATTTAACGCTTGCTTTTTCTTTTCTGTTTATTTCTTTTTTTTGGTCAGGCTATTTGCTGAGATGTCGGATGTGTGATAGTGCGATAATGATTTTTTTTTCCTTGCTCGTCGGGAAACCTGGCAAGAAAGGCAGAATTTTGCTGGAAATTTTCTCAAATAAATGGGCATACTAGACACGAACCTTGCCTCTGTTTGCTTCTTCTAGACTTGCAGCAAACAAGTGATGGCAGATTGCATCTTTCTCATTAGTCCTACACATAGACCAAACCCCTCACTGACTGGCTGGTGATTCATATCTAAAAGAATCTATGTTCGTTCAGAAAGATTGTGCATCTGTCTTCAATCTTCATCAGTCTTCAGTATGCGCGAATCTCAGATGTGTTTGTTGTAACATGTTTTGTTCATATAACTTGATTTGTAGCATCTTGGTGGAATGTGCACTTGCTGTGTAACCAAACTATTGTAACTTATTAGAAAATCAAATTTTCACTTGTCTATGTTACACGATGCATTAAAATGAATGCGACAGGCAAACATGAAAAAATTATGCACGATGCATCAAAATGAATGCGACAGGCAAACATGAAAAAAAATATGCATAAATGCGACAGGCAAACATGAAAAAATTATGCACGATGCATCAAAATGAATGCGACAGGCAAACATGAAAAAAAATATGCATAAAGGTCGATTACGATTACTTGAGGTATAGCTTTGCTAACAAACAAGAAAAACAACTTACATTTTAAAATTAATTTTAGGAGATTACAGATTTTAAGGGGATACACATACAAGGGACAATGGATATTGACTGATGCATATGCTATGTAAATACTAAATATAGTTTAAAGTAAGTGTTAATACACAAATTGTGGATAATTATGGATAGCTTCATAATCTGCATCATCCGATCGCTAAAAACACGGACATTCCAAACGAAGTGTGTCCTTTTCTTTAACGGGTTAAATCTAGAAGGGGCAATTTTTGTAATCACGTCATAACTCAACAGTAGTATTCTTCCATTCCACACATGACAACCAATAATAGTTTGTCTAAATCTCAAAACAATGGTACACACTCTGATTAAGTAGCATATAGCTCTACAAGTACAATGGAGAGGTGAACGAAAAAAAAAAAAATGTCTGAAAAATAGCAAGTCCACAAGGACATTTACAAAGATGGACGTGCGATACACAATATTATGTTCTAACTCGCCAACATAGCAAATCGCAAGCGAAACAGCCTAGTAAGGCTGCTGCAAGATCACACTGCATTCGTACAATACAAACACACAAAAATAGAAAAAAAAAAATAGCAACATATATATTCAGGAGTTTGGCGAGACTGAGGAAATGTCGGACACTTGGCGGATGAATGGCATGTTATTCGAGGAGCAGGAACTTTTAATGCCACGATTGGCGCACGTTTTGCCATCCGCAAGAATACCATCAAGATCCAATCCAGCCACTGCAAGATCCAAGTATTGCATCGGGCCTACAACACTCTGTGATCATTCTGAACCTTTTTGTATTCCAGCATCGAGAATCAAGCTTCCATTCATGACCTTTGATCTCACGTCAACATGGCTATTCTAGCAAGTGAAGTCCAGAGTAATCGAAGGCCTGTCGGTTTATTGGCAACAGGGAACCCTTTTCTTTCTCACCCAGCCAGCCCAACCTACCCTATGTATTCGAGGCGGAGGCTGGAACCGAAAAAGACCTCGTTTGGTTCCACACATATCAGACAGAAGGTATGGGACAACCAGTTCACCACGGAAAGCGTCTTCGATCCTGTAATCGTCTGTCTTCTTTGTTCGAAAATTGCGCAGTGGAAATATCCCTTCAATTCTGCTAACTAAAATGGAATTATTCATTTATGTAGACAAATATTTATGGAGAAAAAGATGGCTATAGTATTTTACAGCTTCATATGAGTCATTATTCATTTATGCAGACAAATATATGTAAATAAAATGGAATTAAATATCCCTTCAATTCTGCTAACTTTCACTACTTACAACCTGATAAAAAATGATCCTAGTACCTTGCAGACTAATCAAGAGAAAAAAAAAAAAAATCTAATCTGAAGAGTTCTAATATGAAGCTAATAAATTAATTAACATCATAATATAGTGTTAAATTATCACAGCAGATACAGAAGAGAAGTCTAATACACAGAGATTGAACTCTAATTGACCTCCGTGGAGAATTTCCCGCTCAAAATTGTCACAATCAGTGGTCAGAGGTGAATCCGTAGGTTCTCAGGCCATCTTCACTTTTGTTACTGAAAAGCAAGATTTGAGGATCAAAATTACCTGATTTAGGAATACTTGAACGCATTGAAAAAGCAACATCACCTCATTTAAGTTGGAAGCGCTGGACAGCTGGAGCCGAGAAACCTTCAAGGAGAACAATATATACACTTATGTGTGTACAAAAATTCTGTGGACCAATCATCCATTGCTTAATATATTGACACATGTCTAAATTGTATTTATTGTAAGACACGTGTCAATACATTATTGGTGAATAAGTGTAGATTGTTCTATAAACCGAGTCATCCGATTGCTCCATAACAAAGCTGGTGTGTGTATGTATCGATGCGTACAGAGTCTACAGACAGACAGAGTCGCATTTAATTTACTTTTTGCTTTTTTGCTTTTTTTTTTTATATATTTAATAGTTTTGCCTTCTTCTTTTTGATAATTACTAGTATGGTACCCATGCGATGCACGAGCTAGTTTTATTATGGTAAGCATTTAGATTGGATGAATGAAAAAACGTAAAACTCATATATTAGTATAAACAAAATATAACTTATATATTAAAAAATGCATTATTGTATACAATATTATTTGTTTTCTCTTTTGTTAAATCGTCTACCGCCACAAATTAAAATTTTCAAACACTTAAGATTCGTAGCGCGTGAAACATGCATAAAGCTGGCCGTGAAGTTTACATATATTAGGATTCTAGACATGTTAAAATAAATCGATTAAATTATTTAGCAGGATATATCTTATATGTTTTATACTTGTTTTATGCATATTGCATAGCAAAATATAACGGAATTGAGCAACTAGCGCGAAAGCCGTTAGGGTTCCTCGAACAATGTGATATCTTTGGATTCCCTGCCTTTCTTGTCTTGGGATGTTTAGGCTCAGCAACACAAAACGAGGGTTTCGCTCGTTATACGGTTCAGAAGGTTGAAGCCATTGCCCGTTTTTCATTTCGTGGAAGTCCCCGGCAGAGGAAAGGTCAATTGCATCGAACGAAGCAAAGTGAAGGAAAAGACGTCGACGAAGATGCTCGACTAAAAGGACCGGATCCCCTTCCCCTCTACCCCTGAACCCATATTTACCATGTTTCCCGACTTGAGGTCTTAGCTGGGAAATTCCAAGCCCTTTGTCTCTTGACTTCCTGGCAACCAATCTAATCCAGAAATTGGTAAATTCCCTATAGCTTGTTCACGACCTTGGCCTTGCAGAAAACCAAATATAGGATTTCCCTACACGATTACTTTCCGGCATCCAACCCAAGAAACTGGGGAATTCCTCTGACCTATTGACTTCCTGGCAGCCAATCCTGGGTAATTCCCAAAACCAAGAACCGCTTCCTTTCTCCCGACTCCAGGACTGATGGCTAAGACCCGACCTCTTCGGCTCTTCATTTGATGGCTTGGTCACGAACCGAGGGGAATTGAATTCCCAGCACCCGAGGTACGAGCGACCCCATGACCGAGTCCAGCTACTCCGATGCTTTGGATCCCTGAGCTCCTGATCTATTGACTTGCTGGAAGACAAAAAATACCCGGCTCTTTCTCGATCCCCGAGGTACGGGCCTCATTTAGAACTCCAATGTAGACAGAAATTTCAAAAAAGGCAGCAATCGCAGATATCTTGCTTTCGCAGGATTTTGGTGGCCCAAGCACTTATTTGTTGACGGGAAACTAATCCAATTCGCAGTTGTTGGTGGTTATATCGATCGATCATATAAGAAAAATTCTGATTTATTAGTTAATTCGAATTTTATATTGCCAAAAATATATATATATAAATAATATTAGTTTAATAGGAAGTTCATTTATATGAGAATATGTGATTGTATTTTTTTCTAATTGAAAATTTTCATTCAGCCAATTTTTAGTTCAGCCAGATTTTTCGAATAAAAAATGAAAAAGGATTTTGATTTTTAAAAAACCGTAAACACTACCAAAATCTACCAAAATTAAATTTACAATACCCATCATTTTAGGGTGCATTTAAGGGGCTAATATATTAAAAAAATTAAAAAAACTACCGGCATGAAATAAATGTGGACCGATTTTATGGCAACTCAATGATAAGGTATTTAAAAATTAAAATTTTATATTCGAAATGATACCTAATTATTTTCAATTATATTTTTTGAATAAAAAATGAGAACGGATTTTGATTTCTATTTAATTGAGAATGGACTAGTGCACACCCCGTGCGATGCACGGAAATACAATATTAAATAGTAATTATAAATCAAGGAAGAGTAAACAAAATTAACTAATAATTATAAATTAAAAATGTGGAGTAACAGAAAATAGTGTAAATAACACAAAAAATCAACATAAAATAGTGTAAATAATGCAAAAAATCAAGCTTTCAGTATATACACTAAAACGACCCACATGCACGAATTCGGTGATCGAACAGTCTAAATCAGTCAAAATGATTAAAAGTCGTGAACAATCTATTTCACCTATAAAAGACAAAATTTCCCGACTATTTAGTTTTCATAAGATCCACCTGCACATTTCTTGTTTTTCCTCAACTTTGTTTCGTTTAATTATGAAGAACGATCCACACATTAACCTTGTGTATAAATTGTTTGTTTTCAATCGACGATACATATCTCCATAAACACGTGAAAACAATGATCTTATGTTTTTTTTTAATCGAATTTCACTTGTTTTCTCAAATACCAAACAAATTATTGGATTTGTATTGTGTCTTTTATTTGGATTTCAAAAAATAATACAAATATAAGTTTAACTCATAAATTTGAAATGCACGTGTACAATTCAAATTTGTTCTAATTTTGATTG